TGACCCATACAATGTATTGTTGGCTATTGCTACAAATATCCCCCAGTGACTTAACACTGCTTTTGTGCTCCAGGCTCACAAATTACTCTATTATTAATATTAATTTATAAATGTCAGTGTTATTGTTGTATTATTTCTATGATTAACATTTATTTTTATACTTTGTTTTTATTTTAATTTTAGTTTAATTTCTTTCTTTGAAGTCTTTGTGTGCTTCGGTCATTTTTAGTACTTTTTGCTTTTTAATAACACTAAGTTTAGGTTGAATTTTGTTTTGTTTTTTTACGTTTTAGTTTTTATTTCCAGTTTTTAGTGCATCAACCTGACCTTGTTTCAGTTAGATATATTTAAATTACTACTTTAGGTTACAGTTTTTAAGATTGTTAAAAAAATTAAGAAAATTATTATAATTTATCATTTCAATTATTTCAATAAGTTAATAACACTCGCATGTTCTCTGATGTCGGTTAATGGTCAAATATATATTAATTTTAATTTAGATTTTTATCATTTTTAGTGTTTCATTCTTTATTTTAAATATGAAACTTTTAAAATTTATTTTAAATTTTTAAATGAAAATGTTAAGCTTTTCGTTTACTCTCAAACCCCCTGCAGTGTTATGTTAGTGTGATTGAGTTGCTATTGTAGTTTTTATTAGTATTTTGATTCAGTTTTTCATCTTAATTGTAAAATATTAGTAATTTTGTTGTGTTTTTGTCATGTTTAGTCGTTTTTGTTCATGTTATTTATTTAACATGCCTACATAGTTTTGTTTTTATTTATTTTCTCCCCAGTTTTTGATACTCTCTGACTTACACTCACTGTTATCATTGAGCACTAATGCTGTTTGTGTGTGTGTCGTGCAGCCGGGCGCTTTGGACTTCAATAATCAGCTTCTTGCCCCCGGAGGTAAAGGCTCGTGGGGCAGTTGGGGCAAAGGCAGCAGCGGAGGCTCAGGAGCCAAACCCAGCGACAGCGGTGAGTGTTTGTACACGTCTGATGTATTATGCACACATATTCAGACGTGGTGTGACTCTAATGTGTTTTACAGCCCAGGACTCTGGTCGTACCAGCACTTTGAATCGATTTTCAGCACTTCAGCAGCCTTCCTCCTCTTCTTCATCTTCATCCGCCAACATCGACTCTGACAGGAGGGCTCCTCACAGGTCAGAGGTCACACACAGGGATTCTGGCTGGACAGGGTTTATTATGCTTATCGAAAACCATTAAATAAAGCAGTAATATAACAGTTAAGGGGCGTTGTTAGGCACGACGGCTTCACGGGGCTTGGTGCTTTTATAAAACGGTTATTATATATACGTAGTAAGGTTTCACAGAAAATAAAACGGAGCAAATAAAGTGTAATGATATTAATAAAAACAGTATTCTTCCACCAAACAATGTAGCTCCTCAGAAACAGTTGTGGTTGCTACAAAGTAGTTGCAGAGCAACACACAAACGTAAACAAAGGTGTGTGTTACTTTGTAGCGTCATT